TTATCAGCATATGGAGTACTGAAAAAGTTCCCCACGTTTCATTACTGGAAGGATTAAATGCTACGGTAACCATAGCCCATAGGCCGAATGGTCAAAGATCTCTATAGATTCCGTCTAGCGTTAGGCTGGATGGAAAAAGGGCTGAGCTGGGCTAGACAAGGCCTGCTTAGTTTAAATCCAGCCCAAGAGGGCCTGAAATGGGCTAAGCATTGATTCGGGGCCTAAGAAAATAAAACTAAAAAATAAAAAAATTGAGACATTTGGTAAACAATTAACTAGTTGCTTTCTTTAATTCTACTACTAGACAAAAGAAGAAAAAGAAAAAAGAAAAAGTGTTTTATGGTTTGTATTAATCTCGATTGTAAAATAGGATTCTAAAAAAAAAAAAATGTATACATTTTGTTTTATTTTACTCGTCAGCATTACAATTAATAAGGAGTTTTTTTTTTTACATTTTAAAATTAATTTTGTGCATTTTGGATAAAATATTTTTAAAAATAAAATACAATCTGCATTTTTAATAGACCAAAGTTTTTCTCCATAATCACATCAAATTGAATATGAGGGATCGATTTTTTTCTCCTAACTAAACAAAGTATAGGAGACTTTGTCCTCAAAGTGTTGAAAACAAAGCCTCAACCAAGTCAGACAACATGGAATCCAACAGCAACACTTTTTTTTTTTTTGAGACAAAATGTTCATCCAATCATCCTAGTCCTGTTTTGGGGACAGAAACTTGAAACATAAGGAAATGTATTAGTTAGTGGGTTGATTTTTCAAATCACTACCTAACTGTTTGATGTGCTTAATTAACAACTTCTAATGTTTCAAAACGACTCTTACTAATTTTCAAATCACTACCAAATAACTGCTTGATTTGCTTAATTAATCCTAGCTTATGTTTCGAACGAGTCTTATTAAAATTTCCAATCAACCACCAAACTGATTGTTTGATTTGCTTAATTAAGTATATTACTACAAACGTGTCTTTGGTTAGTTAACGGCTTTAACAAGAAACTCTTGAGATTGCCTGCTTCTTACATCTCTTGTCTCTTTGATTAGCTCACATCAAACTGCAATGCAAAGTAATCATTTAAGAACTACAAAATTCTGTCTCTTCTCTTCTAATATTAGTTTATAATTTGGGTATGTGAGAAAATTCAAACTTTAGAATCAAGGACTTAAAGAGTTTGTGAGTGACGCTATTATCCATCTTTGTTACATTAACTTTTCATTTTATCTTGACGAATAGAAATAGATATGATGCTTGGTACTTCAAAATATCGAGAAAACTTATAAAAATTCTATTTCGTATAATATATGTTTACGGATAGCAATAGGTCCCCACAAGAATAGGAACCCTCTCCTTATCCCCATTCCCCCCAATGACGGTGTGGGGATCTCTACGGGAATTTTTAGCAGAAAACCAAAAATGATTCCGTTCTCATACTCACAAGAAATGATAGGTCTTTGTGAGTATTCAAAGTCTTCATCAAGTATTAAATACATAGAATTTAATCTTTTTAAAAAAAAAATAAAGAGAAAAAATTTAAAATAACTCAAACAAGTAAATACATTAATATATAATGCAATAAAATAATATCTAGTAATCAATTGTAGCAAATACACACTACCATACATGTCTAATAAGTCCAACAATAAGTCAAAAAATAAAAAAAAGCGTGAAGTGTCATGCATGTTCAAGTTGTGTTAGGTTATTAAATTGGGTTTGAGAAGACTATAACTGGAAAATGAATTAGGCTGGATAATTTAGGTTAGATTGGGTAGGTAAAAATTAATTCGTAATATATTTATAAGAATAAATTTATATTTTTTTATTGCATATGGATATCTACAGATCTTCACATGACGAAGAAAATTCTTCACAAAACAAAAGAAAAAACACCTCCATTCTTATCCCGCAAGAAGGAATATTATTGGAATCTCTATCCCCACGATAAGAATCTTCGCAAGTCTCAAAGGAAATTGTCATACCTATATATGGTACTTTTTTGTATATATAATTTAGTTTTTATTAAATTTCAAAGTTTGATTTAAGATTTTATTCATGTAGATTACATACTTATTCTTAGTTTTCAAACAAAAAAGGAAGACATATTCCATTGCGTTTAATTTCCAACTGTTATATATAATGAACAATCAACATAATTAAAGGAAATATAGGTAAATAAACTGATATAATTAATCTACAGGAAGAGGAAGAGAGTGTGTTGATAATGCAGAATAGGAGAAAGTTAGTGTGAAATGACAATCAAATGAGAGGGAGATTCAATCAGAAAGTTTGGTGCAAAAATGGCTGATGTTGCAACAGAAAGCATTAGAGACAGTCACAAATGTCCAAACCTTGATTTGTTTGCTACATATCCCACACCCCTTTAAATTGTGCCTTCCATTCCTTAGCTAATATGTCTCAACTCAACCAAGCTACACAGATGGAGAAAACAAAGGTTGTTGGGAGTTCATAATGATGCGTGCATATGTGCGTTATAACAATTAATTTCACTCAACTAATTAATGCTCATCTCTTCATTTTTTTTTCTTTCTCCTTTTCTAGTTTGTCAAAGCTGCTGCTACTTCCAAGTCTGCAGTTTCTTGGAGTTCCACAGCTGGAGGAACGGTAAATAAAATTTTTCTTGGACCTAAATGTTTTAAACTACAAAGTTCAGTGATTTCTAATGATATGATTTGAATTGGAATTTTCTTTAAGACAACAAGAGATCAACTCAAAGATAAATCTAAGGTATGTGTATATAATTTGGTAATGTTTGCTTATTTATCTTTTGATTTATTAAGTTCTCAATGATTTAATTCATAGCATGGTGTTTTAGGCTATACCAAAGGCTCCAGCAAAGGAAAACACAAAGCCACTAGATTTCAAACTCCACACAGAACAAAGAGCAGTTAAGCGGGCAATGTTCAATTATTCAGTAAGTACTACATAACAAGCTTGCTCGGAAAATTTTTCTTTTATGGTCCCCAATGTTTATTTTTCTGTTACATTTGGCCCCTCCATTTGATATGTTTGCAGGTGGCCACCAAGCTGTATCTCATGAACTTACAAAAGAAACAAGTAGAGAAACTGCAGAAGGTACTCCCAAATCCAATCACAACATTATATTAAAGAGTTCCTTATTTTGCAATCTAGATTGCAAAATATAAATCATTGGATGAAAATGACCCTTAATATCAACAGACTTACTTCTATCTAATAGTTTATGTTGTGCAGTTTAGTGTAATCCAGATTGTATAATATTTTTTGTTATATTAATTAATTAATTTGTAATAATTATAGTAATTTTGGAAATTGGAGCAGATGCTTGAGGAAGAAGAGGTTCGTTTGCTAAGAAAGGAGATGATTCCCAAAGCACAACTGATGCCCTTTTTTGACAGACCATTTTTCCCACAAAGGTACTTAACAAAGCCATATATAGTCTGTCAAACAATTCAATCATATTTGAATTCCATCTACCACTTACAATGAAGTTGGAGAGCTTATTCTCACGTTTTCATTACTTCTTTAATTGTTCTTGCTTTTGCAGATCCAACCGGCCTTTAACCATTCCAAAAGAGCCGAGCTTCCGCAACTTAAACAGCACATGTTGGAGTTGCATATGCGGGAATCAACTCTACAGTTTTCAACATGCTCATGCTTGAATTGAATGTGCATTTATTCATGCTTTTTGTACGATCTACTTGTGTAGTTAACTTCCCCCCCCTTTTTTTTATTTTTGGTTCTTCACTGAGATACGTAATGGCGGTTTTCGTACCGTCGAAATAATGAAATGTCAATCTTCCTATTTTCGTAAGTCGTTTTAAGTTTACGAATCCTGTAAGATTAGTACGATCCTACAGAGTGATTGTATAGTGACTATGTTCCTGAGGATGTAGGCTGAATAAATAGCATCTGATGTATTAAAAAAAAGTTGCAAAATAAGCCATGTATATGACTGTTTTGGATTTCTAATGCCACGGTTTGAGCTTTAACCCAAAACACACAAACTTCTAAGAGAAGGTATATGAACTTTTTATTCAAAGCTCAAATCTTCTTTTCCATTCGACGTCGAATTCAAGTCCCTAACACGCCCACCGTTTCACAACAAGTGTTGCTATGGTGATCTGTTGGAATTAACAAAACTAGTTACTTATAATCTTAATTTGAGAAATTATAAAAAGGAATCAAGTCACCCTTAATTATAGTTACCTTGTATGCAATCATCCTATTTTACACATTTAATTGGTTGGTGGCTTAGTGGAGAATAAAATTGAATGAAGAAAATTAATGAAACATATATATATATATTTGTTTAATGATTAGGTATTTTTAGGTCCGGATACGTATATCTTCACATTAAATTTTTTTCAATCTCAAAAAACAAGTTATTTATACCAAAAATAAAAAATTCATAAGGAATTATTTGCCATTAACTTCATTAAAAAGTTAAATATTAATCAACAAAATAAAAAATAAACTTCTTTATCAACTAAGTTATTATCACTTAAATAATAATATATTCAGCATTGAGAATAACATTCATAATGAACATAAGACTTCATAAAACAACAGTCATTCATGACAGAAAAACACTTAGAGAGTGCCTAATTGATTAAATTTTTTATATATGTTATTAATTAATTACCACTTAATTTGTATTAAAATTATAATAAAGATAAAATAAGAATTAATATATTAAATGAAATCTTAATAACCAAGAGTATACAACTAATTTTAAATGCTAAATTTGGACAAAGAAGGTAGTAGTAGGTTTTTGACTCAAAATTTATATTAATTGTCATTTCTTTTATGTTTTGAGACAAACAATTTTTTTTCCTATTCCCTCCATTCAATTTTATATTATTCAATATATTTATTTCTATAATTTTACTTTAAGAAAATAACTATAACATATCGTTATGCTTATTTAAGTATTATTTAATTAGAAATAAATATAAAATTTTATTAATTAATTATTACATATTTATTTTATTGGAAAAAAAATTTAATTTCTCATAATTAGGCCAAGTAAAGTTTGAGTAAGATAGTACCTCAAAAATCTTCTCTTTATTCATATCTTTTTAATACTTATTCTCTCTTAAAATAACTATTATTTTTTATTTTAAATTTATTTTAAATTAATTATTTTTTTCTATTTTTGAGATAAATAAATATTTTTTTACTTTAACTCTATTATTTTTTATTCACCTTAATTTATCATCTCATCATAAAAAATCTTCTATTATTATCATTTTTTTAAAGATATTATAGATAAATATAAATATTATCTCCCAATTATTAGTTCAAAAAATAATTATTTTAAAACAAAAAGAGTAATATAATTAATTTAAAAGAAACAGAAAAGAAAAAGAGGAAGAGAGAACAAAATTTGCTAATAAATTAAATTGTAATATTTAAAAATGTTATAATTTAATTATTAAAAAACTCATTCCTTGCTTCTCATTAGGTAACATGTATATTTGTTCCTGATTCTTAATTTGGGAAAAAAAAATTAAAAAAAGAGTATTTTATTCCGAGACGGGAGTAAAACTGTATAGGGGGTTCACTCTTATATGCTGCAAAAGTATGCATTTCAGATACTTGGCAGTATGTAATATAATTTTTATTTGCCAGTTAAAACAGACGGATTTTGAACAACCATGATTTTAACAAAAACGCTCTCCCACAAAGTTGGTCCTTCAGAGGTCTTCAGGGCCATTGATTTCCTGCAGTTCATATGACATACAGTAAGCCAATGATTAACACTATAAAACCGCAGAATGGCCTAATGAAACCATCCAGAATGCAAGAGGATTACCTTGTTTTCAATTACAGCTCCATCAGGAATTTCTAATTTCACTCCAGCTTTTGCAACAATAGTTACTTTTCCCTTCAGAGATAAACCCAAAAATACATTTAGTTACACAATTGGATGAGTGAGAGGGTGGAAAATCTGAGTCTATTTAAAATTAGAGTTTATGGGTTTTTTTGTTAACAAAATTTAAATTTTAACAGATGTGAGAAATGAGAGTCAATCTGGAGGCAGTTGCAACAGCATAAACTTGAGTAACCAGAAGGCAGTGAGAATACATGAAATACCTTGAGAGTAATACCAGCACCAAACCATACATCACCAGTCACCTTAAGGCTATCCAGCTCAATGATACTTGGGATTGACTTGAATCGACTCAAGAAATTGCCAACCTGTTGAGCAAAGAAAGAACATTAGTATCATTACTCGAATAAAATGGCATCTAACAGCATGTTTATAATTCCAAAAATCCTCACCTTCTTAAATTCAGGTCCCAATTCAATTGAAGGATTTGCAGGATTTTTTCTAGCTTTGTTCCTAATGACAAAGCCATTCTCTAAGGTGTAGAGATCAGACTGCAAGAGGGGAAGTAGACATATTATGTGATGTTATATTATCATCTAAGGTCCCCATGCCAGAGGAAGAAGAAAATCACCTGAACCAGGAGCAAATCTGAAGTTGCCTTCACTGGAAGGAACCGTGATCGAGGTACATTTATGCCAATTGCATTGTCAAAGAACTGGATGACAGTTGAAAACCCAACGTTAAAAGATCAAAGTTAAGCATCTTAAACATCTTAAGAATAATTGGGCATATTTAATACCCTAATGGCTGCCCCAGCAGCAGTTTCCAGTTGAAGAACTTTGATCCCGTCTACCTCCTGCAAATGATTTTACTTCTATCATTTGAGTAAATTAGCAAATTGGCAGACCAATATAGTTTAGATTCTTTAGAAGAAGATGCTTACCTTAGGATTTGGAATGATCTCCATTTTGAGTGCATCAGCTTGGACCAGCCTCTTAATTGCATTCAGGTTCACCCACCTGTAAAAATATATCATCAGTGCTGATTCATAGCGCATTTATCACATCTAAGGTAGGATGGCTTACAGGTTGTTGGTATTAAAAATTTTGAACTTCTCAATTGACTTGAATTCGTTAACCTGGTACAAACAAGAAGAGGACCACATGTAAGCCATAAACATGCCAAAGGTCATACTAATCAAAATTTTATTGTATACCAAACTAATTATTGTTCAAGGAACTGCTCTTTGTAGAGAAGAAAGCAGAAAACTATTACCTGCCAAAAGTTGAACAGAAAACTTCAACTAGACAAGTGGTTGCCTATTCATTAATTCTTTGTGTACCGACCTAATTTCACAAAATTGGTTGCCTCACAAACATATACTGATCTAAAACTCAGCTGAGCTGACACTGTCTTGCTCATTAAACTTAATGATTGACAAAGTTCCCCCAAGAACTTAAACTTTCTTGCAAGATATTTCTTAGAAATTGATATTCCCCCTCTCAGAATTTTGATCTTCTTTTGACTTAATACTCAAACTTAGGTCTAAGACTTAGATTAAACATTTTAGGAAGTGATAAACACTCATTTATGGCTAATATCTCAAAACTGTCTGTCTTGGAAAATATGTATATTGGTTAAGTAGCTAAACTAACAAAAGGGAATAAGAGTGAAAAGGCAGATTATTCTTTAACTCTCCACAATGGATAATTCTGCTGGACCATGATAAAATTTCCAAATTAAAGGATGATCTCTATTTTAGACTGCCAATAAAACCAGATTTGATTGGAACTTGGATGAATAAACATTTAAACAAATAAATAAATTAACAAATAATTAAATCAAATACAGATGAAATCGTGGTAACTTACATGTTCATCAGGAACTTGAGCAATTTCGAGAAGCTGAAACATATAAATGGGGGCAGGTAAGCATCAATAAGTGTCTCAAATTCAAACCAAAAAACTTTTTCTTTTTTATAAAAAGGGTATGAGATGGGTAATGCATAATATGACAACATTTACCAATTAGCTAAACATAAGACCATAAGGAACAGCATAGTGCTCTATGTTCTACTAGATCTATCATAAGTTAAATTGCAGTTAATTAGTTATGATTTAAACTTTTATTAAAATTAGAGCTTTTATAGAAGTGCTTTCTAGTAGAGTTTTTATATAAGTGGTGAATCATGACATTAATTAATATAAAATAACTATAAATAAATAATTTTTGAAATTGATAAAATTTACCAAATTCAGAAATTTAGCCACAAAAGCTATAATTTAGAAGCTACAAATTTGTAACTTCAGCTTCTAAAAAAGCAAGAAGCACTACCAAGAAGAAATGTTTTTGACCTAGCTTCAACTTCAGCAGTAGAGAAGCTATCTTAGACTCTGGGTCAAACAAGCACTTGCTCTACTGATTTACCACGATCATGATATTAATTATTACCTTAAGTTGTCATTCTTGACAAAAATACGCAAGAAGATTTTACAAGAAAATAAAACAGGCAATAAGGTCTGTACCTGAACTTTTCCCTCATAAGAGATGAGGGTACCACCTTTCACATCAGCCAATGTTTTTGGTGTGACCTGCATATATACAAGATAATAAAGCAACAATCATGAAGCCAAGAAAGCAGAGCTAAAACTGATTGAAGTTCTCCTTGTATACCTCCATACAGTATTCGTTCTTGTTTTGGATCAAATGATTTAAGATTTCTGTTGCACCCTGTCAAGGATTTAAACAGCTACAAAGAACTAGTACCTCAAGCATATTTGTCAATTATAGGATGACAATGCAAAGGAAAAAAAGGTACAATTTAGAGGCAAAATTAACCAGAAACTATAATGAGGATACTCAAGTCAACTATAGCACCCAAGTTGTCTGAGTTGGCAATAAACACATACTCCTTCCCCTGTAATGAAAAATTAGATACAATTAAATAACAGAACAATCAAATTTTCATTCCTACCCTGGTGAAGCACAAATCAGAGCAAAAATATAAAAATACACTGTACCACGACACCAACCTGTGACAAGAAAGTATCAAGCTTGCCACTGTTCATTAGAGATGGGAAAATATCACCATGTCCAGGAGGATACCTTCAACATGTATAAGAGAGAGATTTTCATTACGATAAAGTATCACCATGAAGTAAACAACTTGAAGCTGTAAACAGGAACTCTAGCATCAACTTCAAAACCAAACAGCATAACATAACACAGGATTAGAAAGGCAGGGATAAAGAAGATTAAAACTGCACAGCTAGGAAGTAGATAAAAGAACATGGTTAAATAGTACCATCCATCCTTCCCAGTCTGTCCTTTGCATGGTAATGGAATAAAATCTTCAACAACTACACGAGGATATTGGCTCTGTGCAGATTGATGGAAGGTGAAAAGGGGGCAGAAAAATCTTCGTTTACACTTAAGCAAACGAAAATGGAAGTAGCACCAGAAACAGTATAGAGAATCTAACCTGGTTGAAGGTGTGAATCTCAACATTGGACTTGGAGTACTTCTCCACAATCTGAATCCAGCAAGAATCAGTAAGTTGAAGTAATCTCTTATCAAAAAATGAAACAAGCAGAGGCCAAAGGGTAAGAACAGAGAAAGGTCATTACCTTAAATGTGTCCTCATGAGTGTTGAATGAGTTCATGAGAACCAAAGGAACATTACACCCATATTTGGAATTGAGATTCTGAAATTACTCCAGATTGCAAGCAACATGTAATAATGACGCAAAATTGAGAAAAAGAGAATTATGAATGAAGCAAAATTGAGGATGAAAAAAAGATTACCTCAATCTGGATAACAATAAGGTCAAGAAATGTCAACCCATCGCAAACTTCAATGACAGATCTGCATTAGGATAGGAGCAAAATTGAAATAAAACCCATGAAATAGTGAGTGAGGAAACAACAGAAAAAAGATCGAAAAAGAAGAAAATGTGGAAAAATGACAAGTAAAATCAAACTGCTTAACTTGATGCATTAAAGTGATAAATAGTTCTTATCAAAATTACATCTCTTAAGGGAAGAAAATCAACTTTATTAGTATTTCATCTTTCATGTTCTCCACTTAACCAATAGATAAAAAAGAAAAACAGCCAATAGAATATATATAAGATGAGATCAAAACACATACTTGGGACCAGTACAGCCCATTGTTGTCCCCAAACCACCATTAAGCTTTAGCACAACAAGCTTGTCCAACAGCTTCTTGGTTTCGGCAGAATCTGTACCAATCAAGACATTTCAGTCAGGTCAGTATAAGAAGAATGGATTTATGAACAAAAAAGAAACCAATCAGATGGAAGGTTATTTGCATATACAAAAAAGTCAACAGAAAGAAAAGAAATCAAGAACGGTAGAGGATGGTACCCTCTGGAAGTGGAGACAAGGAATCATAAGGAACGACGACCTCATCAGTCGGTGTTTGGATCTTACTCCATTCAATATGCTGCGCTTCGCCACTTCAATTCATCAATCCAAATAAAAGAGTTCCAGATTAGCACATTCAATTCAAATCTTCGATATTTTGTCTTTTTTCCATTGATTACAAAGGAAATGAAAAGGACATAATTCGACTATCAAACCGAGAACGATGAACTTTTACAGGATCAACATCCAAAATCCAAATAATTTGATACAGAAACCAGATTCGAGATACAACGGAAGTTCCTAACTCACCTCAGATAACGAGAGACGAGATTGATGAATCCATTTTTCTCATTTTCACTGTAAAATTAAACACGGACGAGCTGGAGTGAGATGCGTTCTGTGCAAACATGCACATAAACTGATCATAAGGAAAGATAATAATAAGGAAAGATAAAGCATCAGCATCAAAATTCCGAGCACAGAAGAAGCGTCCACAACAATAATTAACTGGAGAAAGATGAACTGGAAGAAGAAGAAACGATGGAGAACCTGATTTGATTGAGGCCAGAAGCTGCAGATTTGAGCTGAGTGAGCTTGTCGGTGGCAGTAGCCATGGATGATTGGGTGTATCTAGAAGGAAAGGAAGGAAGATGAAGAGGAAGAGGAAGAGAAAGAAGCGAGATTTGGAAGGGAAGGGTGGAATGGAAATATGTAGTGTGGCGTCGTTACTCACCGGAAATTTTACACCCACAGAAAAATGAAAAGGAAAAATCAAAAATCCTTGATTTGGAGGTAATTCCGGGTGTGGAATCCACAGGCGAATATGACGCCTACTCTCATGCCGGAAAATAAGAGAAACCGTGGCGCCTCTTTTACGCAAGAATGATACGTCACCGTCTAGAGGTGGCGAAACCTTTTATTATTATTATTATTATTATTATTTTTTTTTTGTTATTTTTTCAATGGTAGGATGGTGATTTCATGTGATAACGCACATGGATGCCTCATGCATTTTGCCTATGCTCATGACAAAACTAATAATAACAAAAAATTAATTACTTGTTAATTTGAGTTGAAGATATTTGAATTTTTTAAAATAAAATTTTAAATTTGAGTTTCATAAATTTAAAAAACAAATTGTAACTCAATTCTTAAATAATAATGATACAATATGATTTCTAAATATTAAAAATTAATATTAAAAATTAATAGTAATAAAATACTAACATATGACTAGAGCCGAAAAAAAACAAATATGTTTCAGGCTAAAGTTTTTAATATTTTGTATAATTTCATGAATATTATAGCAAGTGATACCAATATATATAGAAAAAAGAGAAGCACCAGCTTTTCAGAATGAAGAGAGTAATATTAGAGGGATTTGAATACCCAAATAAATGCCATTCTATCATAAGCAGGCAAAGAAACTTTGCAAAAGGCAGTTCCTTGTTTATCCTAAAGATTGAAACTTTAGTAAAAGAGATTCGTCAACTTTTGGTGGTGTGAACCAATGATGAGGAGAGAAAGATTCACCCGCAAGGCCACAACACATGAGCCTGGAATATGGGTTTTCAATTTTTCATCTCCTGAATATGATACCTTTCCTTTTTACCATTTTCATTTTTTAAAATCTAGAAGAAAAAAATGGAGACTCAAACAAAACCATCCCAAAAATGTTCCAAAACATGTGAAAACAACTAGCCATTTGGAAAACAATATATCAGTTCTCTTCACTAAAATCAAAGCAAACTTATATAAAATTTCAAAAGAAGTTTCAGTCAAGCCAAATAGACTAAAAAGTTCAAAGACAGGAACTTTGAGTCCATCTAAAGCTCAAGTCCATATATAAATAAGGTCTCAAACTCCAACAAAGTTTAAATTGGATAAGTCTTGCAACTTCAAATCTATATTTGTCAAAGCAAACATAGAGAGGTTTGATATAATAAACTCCAGCGGCAACAGGAGCCACCGAAAATTTAACATTTGATCTCGAGTCTAACAACTCAATCCAAATTAGGGCATCTCAAAGCAACCTTTATCTTCTGAACAGTAGAGCTTATGAGAGAATTGACACCTGCCACAGATTTGACGCTCACCTCCTTTGACAATGAAGAGCTAGAAACCAATATCTGGAAAACCACTGTAAGAAGTGAGCCACCAGACTGGGGAACATTTGCACTAGTTGAAGCATTGTGGCTGCCTCCTGTCTCTCGACAGCCATTGCGAGAGATTATGAAGCCTGATGGGAGTATGGGTATGTTTGAAGAGTCCTCTCCCCTTGTTGCTAAGTTCATAGCTGGCTTGTCCATTGGAGCATAGATTACCAAGGACCCCAGTGAGTCTGTGCAGCACTCTTGAAGAATCACCATGCCGTTTTCAGTTGGGACAAAAGGCTGTATCATCAGTAGCATTGAAAGAAAATGTTAAATTCTTATGAGTAAGGATAAAAAAATATGGAAACTTATGACAGATTGTGGATACCATTCAGAGAATGTAACAAATTCCCAAAAGAATGAAGTGCATTTATATTTCACAACCCCAACCCACGCACATGTAATTATTAATTTTTCAGTAGCAATTCAGTAGTTATTAACTCCTTTACTAACCACAACACATTAGATGTTGAACCCATAGAATATGGTTGGAGCTTTCTCAATAATAATTACTGTTACTAAATTGCTAAAGAAAATGAAAATTTTCAATGTTCTATACAGAGCAGAAAAGGAAAATTTTACCTGAATAATGGAAATGCAGTTTCCTGAATTAATGCCGGTTGAGATGTGTGCAATCTCAGTGACTGGATTTCTACTAGAGAGCACATCCCACTGACAAGCAACGAAAAAAAATAACAAGTATTTAATGGCACATGTTAGTAAATACTAATTGTTTCAAGAATAATTCTAAATTCTAAATGAAGATTCTTTCGACTTATTAACCTGAACTCGCTTTTTTTCATCTTTGAACAAATTAAATATGCTCTCGCATGGAAGTGGAAGCCAAAGAGAGCTAGCAGCACTGACAATCACTCCACTGGGCTGTCCTGGTTCTGTACTCTTGCGTACAGAAACTCGCAAACCACTCTTGTTCACCTCAGATAATTGAGAGATATCCAAGTTACCTGACATGCTTAAGATCGAGCAAAAGCTTTTGACCATCCTGTGGGCAAGCTTCATTATGTTCCTCCTGCCCTCAGGCAATTTAATCACTAAACAATGTGCAGCATCAAGTTCATCAAAATTTGAGTAAGGATAGCCTAGATCAAAAACAGTGATTGGAAATTTAAAACAATAATGAAGAATACCTCCTCCAAAATCATGACGGGACACACTTTCCTCCACTGAGAAAGCTACTCTCTCACACATCCTTTGTAGTGAAATAACCCAACGTTCAGATCCATATGCAGCACTACCACCTATGAGGTCTCGATAGAGATGATGGATCTGGGATTTATCTTCAACTTCAACATGCTCAACCCAGGTCACCTAAACATAGAAGGCATGAAGAAAAAAGGAAAAAAAGAAGAGTATGCATCTGTGTATGCCAACTACATATTATGCTAATGACTTGACACAAGTATACTTATTATTAGGAACTCAAGAAAATGAATTTGAGAAAAAGAGAGAGAGAGAGAGAGAGATGTGAAACTGGAGCATGTACACATACAAAGGCAAAAGTCAAGGTAACTTTTCTGTTCTAGCAACTAACATAGCATGAATTCCACTTGATCTCAAACCTAGCCAAGGTGGTCACTACTTGAAGACAAATTCATAATATCCGTTCTGTTCATTAGGAAGAAATGTGTCTTTTTCCCCCACAGTGACACTATCCTTATGTGAATGCTTTCTTCCAAGCTAATATTGTCCAAAAAAATCCCATTATGTCACCTGACAGCGATGATGCTACATACCAAATTAGAGGCTTTGGAATTTTTCCGTTAAATGGTAACTGTCCACCATGCAAATCTTCTCCTGACTTTCTCAAGATTTGTGATAATAATAAAAAAAGCTTTGATCTTAATCAAATTCAATGATAGGCTATAGAGACACATGTGTTGCTCTTAAATGGTATCTAACAAGCAACACACAAAAACCTGATTCTGGGGAAATAATGGAGTTACTCACCTCAGAACACCCAGTAGGCATCTCTTGAATCATACATCCAGAAGGAAGCTTCCAAGCATGGGAAACCTCTTTTAGGAAGTCACAAGAAACATCCACTACTACCCAAAGTCCTGCCTGAATTTGCTGACAGTAGCGAAGGAAGTAGAACTCCCGAGGTGGAACTAGAGGAGAAAGAATATGCATTTGTTCGTACATCTAGATTTGGTATTTGAAATGGTATAAGTACTTGAATAAAGTAAGTAGGGGAAAATGTTACAAAAAGAGAGGATTCTATTGTCATTTACCAGCTGCAAAGAACCATTCTTGTTTCCTATCATCCCAGGTTCAAGTACTTGAATTGTCTTAGCTTTGGTAACAATTGCAGGGAAAAGATCCACCCATTTGTCCTGCAAGTTAAAATGATTTTCATTTTATCACCATTGTGGAGAATCAAAACTTAATTCATAGAATGGTAAGTGTCGTCAGCACTGACCGAATCTAGAAACATGTCAACCAATTGCATTGCCCTCATGCTCACCAATCCTGAGTCTTTTGATGACTCAATCCGAAAGCTAGAACTTTCAAAATGAGTAGCCCTAGGGAAAATTTTCTCATAGCTATCATGGTCTATAATATATTTTCCATCTATGGGGGATTTGACCCATAAAGGCTCATCAATTTTCAAAAGGCTGATCAATTCATCCATAGCATGGGCAGCAGTTTCTAACATACATGACTTTTCTGTATCCGTGACTCCATTAAATTGGTAAGGCAACATAGTAATGTCTGGAATTCCCGGACTTGCAACATTATCAAGGGGTATATTCCCTGCTCCTGGTCTGGTGGTACCTGTTAACAAATCCATTGAGGATGCTGGAAAAGGAGCCGACAGGTCAACTTGCGAAATTGGTCTGCCTACAAACTTGGAAAGAAACTTGGAGACCTTTTCATGCTGCAAAAACATTAGTTGTCAATGGAACGGGAACCCTATTTATAAGACACGAGCACATGGATAGAAATGAGTAAAAGCTGAAAACCCTAGATAGATTTGGATAGAAAGTTTCAAGAACTAGCCTCTTCTTTCAAATTGGCATTTTCAAGTTGCAATTTTTGTAAGCTATGCTGACGTTCTTCTTCTCCATATGGAAGACCTCCACACGCAGGGCAAATCACATTCTTTAATGCCTCTTTAATTGCATTGTTTTCACAAATAATCCTTTCATTCTCTGCACGCAGAGCCAAGTTATCTGCTCTGTCAGCTTGAGCCTGGCAATGAAAATAAAATAAGAATGAGCCATTACTGAGGAAAAAATAATAAGGAACATAGACATGGTTTGTGAACTGAAAAGCCATCAGCCAAAGCACCTTTATCTGAGTCCTCTTGTTTTGAAACCAAAACTTGATCTGTTTAGAATCCAATCCAAGTTCCTTACCCAATTTGAGTCTCTGGTTTTCATCTGGATGGGGGCATTCCTTGAAAAATCTTCATCAGAAAAAGTGATTGTCATGTTATAGAACCAAAGGAAAAAAGAGGAAGAAGAAGAAGAAGAAGAAGAAGAAGAAGAAGAACAAGAGAGAAATGAATTTCATAAAGCACAAATATATAAGAAACTGCCACACCTTCAAATTGAGGGTGAACACAATAGCATATTTGATGTAGAATAAACAGAATGATATAATACCTCACCAGTAGAATGATAAGAAAAGAACTGTAACAAACACTGGTAGTCATGTCAAACAATATTTGACACTTATTCCATCTAAAGGAAAAGGAACTGAAACATTGATTTCTAGGTCAAATAAAGAGAGAACTTAATATGATAACTCTAGGAATTAGGAACAATTATGATAAGTTGATACATAGAATATGATAAATTGAACTAAAATCAAAAGGAGATAATAAAATGAATAAAAAGAGAAGAACAAGGAACTAGAGGAAATCAAAATCCAGAATGGTAATTGAATTGGTAAAAGAGGATCCTTTAGGAAGAAAGCAAAAGCAGAAATACACCTACGCTTCAAGAGTCTGACTTTGATGAACAGTGTGGCGATGACATGCCTTATTCCCCTTTCGAGCAGCATTTGAAGCTTCTTGTTGATCACCAGAATTCCCACCACTTCCCATCACAATATCCATTTTGACCCACACCAAAGCTCAGGCTAAAGCAATATTTAAATGCCAAAATGTTGAATGTGTATCGATGCTCCTCAACAAAACTGGTCATGTTGGTGTATATAAAAAGACAGGTTGATGCCACATCAGGCCAGCTAATTAACACCTCACTATCCTAATTAAGATAGTTTCTGAATATGGGTGGTTTTGGGCTTCTTTTTGCCACAGGAATTAGTACTCAGTTTTGCACTTTTCAAAACATAAAACCTTTTAACTGAAATGCCTAGCATATCTGACTATCTGCAAAAAGTTGGTCAAGTTCAGCTGATATTAATGGGGTGCTCAGAGATGAACTAATGAAAAAGACCAAATATAGCTAAAACTTTTTTTGTGGTACATAATTGACTAATGGACTATAAAAGCTACCAAATAAGGCTGCCATATAAGCCCAGTCTTAAATAGAATGCCTTGCTTTACTTCCCTTTTAACCCTTTTTGCCATTTTCTAAAAACATTTTAATTTCCCTAATAACAAAAGAAAACAAAGGGAAATCAGTTAAACCCGTTCAATTCAAGCTGCAACGATATAATAATTCATGAAATGCAATTGATGAAACCAACTCTTAGCAGTAAATCACAACATCATAAAGGCATTTAATTAGAGACTATATATTCATTCTAGTTCATGCAATGCAAATAAATAAACCAACTTTTAGTAGTAAATCTCAAAATCTTAAACTATATATTTGCAATGTAATTCATGAAATGCAATTGCATAAACCAAGTCTAGCAGTAAATAGCACATCTTGAAAGCATTTAATTGGAAACCATATGTTAGCATTCGAATTCACACAAAGCAATTAAATTAGCAACTCTTAGCAGTATATCTCCAAAACATCTTGAAAACATTTAATTTGAAACTATTTGTTTGCAATATAATTCATGAATGCAATTGAATAAACCAAATCTAGCAGTAAATTACAGCATAAAATTAGAAACTATTCATTCAAATTCATTCTTTAATCTTAATCAACATCTTCTTGCCCAGATGACAGAACTTCTTATTACATGCACACCATTTAGTTCTACATACTCGAATTAAACTCAACAAAATGTAAGCAAAGTAATTATACAAGTAAATTGAATTAAACAGACCAAAAAGAGAAGCAGGAGAAACCTTTTTATCAGTGGCTCCAACCGAATAAATCCTGTAGGCTACTCTAGAGATGGACTGAGAAGAAGAGAACCCAAATGGAGGGAGAGGTTAATTTGCAGTCTTGCAGAAGAAATATTTGCTTGGGTAAGGAAAAGCTACTTGGAAAAAATAAAGGAAAAAGATGAAGGGTGATTGTTAACATTCATCCCTTTACTCTCCTATTTTTTTCAATTTAGTCTTTGATATATTTTGTCAAATCAATTTCATCCTTCACTACTTTGCTTGAATAAAGAAGTTCCCTCTCTTACAAATTAAAATTATAATCCAAATTTTTTTGAAGAAAAATTAATTGCTGTATTCGAATTGTAATTATTAACTTTTTTTTTTCCTTTTTTGATGTGCAATTATTAACTAGTTTTAGCACATGCAAGATTAGAAATAATATTTTCTAAAAAATATTTCTAATTTACTTTGTGATAGAAATATATTGTTCATTGTGAAAAAAGAAAAAAAATATATATATATATACACACACATAGACACACATATATCATACTCCAACAGAAAGTCTTCTTTACATGTGTCAACTATCAACCACAAAGTAAAAATGCCACCTATTCTCTCTCTAGTGATAGACACTATGAGGTTTGAAGTTCAAACCAGTCTACCCCTCCCTTAAATGAAAAAAATGATACAAAAAATAGACTGCTTAAAAAAGTTTACCATAAAAAAAATTGCTTCACAAACAACCTTCATTCATCAAATGGATCATATGATTTTGCCAATTTGGTAATGTAATTTACTACCATGCAACCGCTTTATTCTGATTATCAATGTTCAGCCTTTTCATTCAAGAGGAAAAAAAAATCTAATGCAGTCCCTAAACTTGTCTCAGAAAGTCAATTAAGCCTTCAAAGGTTTTCTCTTAGAAGTTAGTCAGGCCCTCAAACTCATTTTAGAAACAAATTGACAATTTCAATGGAAGGAAATGGAATGACGATGGATTTGCAATTTCCATGTATAAGGAGAAAACTATGTATAAGTATAAGGAGAGGAGAACACCATAGTCATAATGGATATCCCTAGTAGGTGCCAATCAGATGTGATTAACCTGATGGCATATTTTAATCAAGTTAATACAAAAAAAAAAAAAAAGGTTGTCCGTAGCCCCTCCCTCATGGTATAACCTTTTACCTAATACAAATAGAAACAGGATGAAGAGAAGAGACTTCATAATTCAAAACTTTACAAAAGCTCTACCCAAAAGACTTTTACAAAAAGACCTCCAGGCTTAGCACATAAAACTTTTTGGATCTACAAAAAGATTGTAAATACTGTCAAACCAACAGGAAATTTAGAAAAAGAAAAAAAATGACAAACTTTGTGTCAGAAACATAGGAACACTTACATCTAAAACTTGACTTTAAAATCTTACAAAACGAAGAAAACCAATCATAGAAAGTTATGCCATTAAATCAGAGAAAATGGAATCAATAGGGTCTTCATTATTGCCACAAATTGCATAAAGTGTGTACCTAGACTCTATTATTGTACAGAATTTTCATACACTCTCACATCAAAATTGAATGTGAATCATACAAAGTTACTGAACAAGAATACACACACAAAAGAGAATTTGTTATTAAGGCATTTTGAAAGAAAAGAATGAACTTTAATCTGTGCCGAACTTGGAAAAACTTTGCTTGTGAACTAATCTAGTGCAAAAAGAAAACCTGGCAAGAATCCAAGAAGCTCGGAAGAACCAAACCCCTCTCAAGGTCAAGGGTCAAATGCTGAGAGTTCAGCAGAATTAGGAGAAAGCCAATCCTATTTCTTCAAAGTGTCTGATGCGATTCAATAAGCAATGCATTTAACATGATATGAACTGCAGCTTCATAAACAGTTCCATCATAGTGCATACCATCTTCTGTACACCGTGGTCCACAATTCCAAGTCAATGACTCAATATCCATCAATACCATTGGGCCACCAGTTTGATGCAATAACTTACTATCTCCAAGTGCTCTGTCATAAGCATGCCACATTGTATCACTCATCTTCTCCCTCTTCTCCTGTGTATTCAACATGCTATTTATCAACATTGGCATCCCGAGCCAAAACAAATGTGGTGACCTAACGGATTCAGAGCCAGTGACAGGTCCATTGGTGCCTAAATCTGACAACAATGGCAAAAAGGACACCACAGAATTCCTTAACATTTGTAAAGCAACACTATAATCTGACGAATTGGTTATATGAAGCATATGCCATAACCCTTCCCCCATCACCAAAACATCAGGGTAACTCTTTTTTCGCTTCAATTCCCTTATCAAACTAGTCAAATTGGTCACATAAGGAGCCCAGATAAAATCCATTTTCAAACCAATCTCCTCAACAAGAATATTATAATCACTATGCCTCTTAAACAAATCACCCCTAACTGACTCCATTCGCTTGGAATCCGAACCCAGAACCAAATTTAACAAGGACAATGCAACTAATCGGGCTTGTGAATCACCTGCAACAACTACCCAGGATCCGTTCAACAAATCCGACGCATTGGATTTACTCAATTTCTGAAACTCACAAGCACTGACTTTACTCGTTTTTGCCCAATCCCAGCTCTTCTCATAAAAATCAACAGAACTAGCATTTGCATCAACAATTTGAACTTGAATCTTGGGCTTCACATCCCATACAACCTCATTCACCGAATTAATACAAGAAACGCGATGATCGAACACAACAACGGACGAAACAGAAGTTACTAAATCAGAAACAGAGGGGAAATAGGGAGTCAAATGGACGCAAACCGCGAGAGCGATGAACAGGGCTCCACTGAAGAAGAGCATCTTGTTTCTGCTCAAATGCCATCCGGCCATTGCCATGGGCACCAAAACAACGACGCACGCCGCCAACACCCCTAATTGCACTGCCCCGATCATCATCCCTGCACTGATCGCGCAAATCACAACATCTTGATGCTTCCGACGAATGGACAATCAAAGATCCGAGGAATGGAATGAATGAGGAATTGTTTTGTTAATAATTGAATTGGCTTGAGAGCGAAGACAAACAGGCGGTGGGGGTTGAAAGGAATGGTACAACCGTTCTTTTGGTAGCCGGCGGCTGTGTTTTTCTGCTTACTAATTTTAAAATTCGGTATTCTTATTTGAAAAAAAAAAAAAAAATCGGGATTAGAAAAACAAAAAATTACTAATATAAGTTGACTTTATTATTTAATGAAATTACTAATTCTTATACGTAAAAACAAAATCTCAACTATAAGATACATAAAATTCTTCTAAGATATATAAAAGGAAAACGAAAATGTTTTCTTTAAATGAAAAGTGTTTAATTGGACATCATGTGTAATAAAGATGTAGTGAATTTATAAATTTATTAAAATATTTTCAATGAAATTATTTTTTATATTATTTTATTAATATTT